TGCGACAAATGTGGCTTGATGCTTTCAAGAACTCTCAATACTTGTTGATAAATTTTAGAGGCTTGTAATCTTGCAGATTTCATAAACACAACTTTCTTCCAATGATTGAGATGAATGTAATAATGATAATGACATTATGTATATGCATTGTCAAGCTATGCGATCGATAGTTACAGAAGTAAGCATAAAAATTCTACTTTCCATCTCCCTAAACAGTAACATATACAGGTATATATGATTATATCTCCAAAACCTTTTCTTTGCTGTCCAATGTTGCTCTAGATCTGATTACTTTAATGACGGATATGGAAACATTTGCAAGTATCTTTTCCAAACCTATTGACAAGAAATATTATGCAAATCTCTTATCAGACTGTTTCCAACGAACAGAATCGAAAACAGAATTGCTAAACAATTCTTCCCAATGAGCTATTTGTCGATACAATTGACGAACACCTCATTTTGGCTATTTCCTTTTCCTGATGTGGTATTAAAGACGAGTTAGAATCTTCAAATTATTTTCATGTCATACAATCCACACAAATGATTGAATCATTGGATATTCTCAGTCGCCAACAAATTCTCTATATAAACTACATATTCGCTCTCGATAAGAATAGTCATTGCTATCAATTGATTTCCAGGATTTTATCCAATTCATCTGAAAGAAATACTTAAAACTGGAATAAACTCAAGAAGTCATCTGTAAATCTTTAATGGGCATTGAATAAACTTCCTTTTATGTTCCGATATATGTAAAACAGATATCTTCACAATCTTTATTTCATTCACAACTCAATAAGCCATTCTAAGCACACAAAGATCAGTCTATACTAGAAATGAGCTAGTTGGCATTCCTTCAAAACAAATAGACTGAATGGCTTTCCATTTCATCTTATTGACTTTTGTTGTTCCTAAAGATGGTGGTCTGTGAGTATTCAAAATGTCATTCAAGCCCAAATGAGACACATGTAAAAAGAAATCATACTCAATACAAGGATTCAACCTTTCGAATGGTGAATCGTTTTTATCTTCCTATTGAATATAGAAATTGATCTAAAACAATATAATATACGATGTTGTTGCTTTGAAATGTCAATCTTTATCATGATATCTTTCTATAAGCACTATTGGCAAATAGGTAACTGAGGAGTTTTATGATTTAAAAAATCCACAAATCAACATTCTGTAAAGCTTCCCCTACTTTTGTAGCAGTTTTGAGATAGTTATTATGGTGGTTTCTTTTCATCGCTACTCGACGATATCTTTTATTACCTCGACACTTGAACTTTATTTTGGACTCAATCCTTAAAGTTGGATCATTTAATATATGCACATGTTTCTTAAGGATAGATGGGAATAGTTGGTTGCACTTAAAGGCTTCCTTTTTGTACTTATGAGTGAATGGATCCTCTCATTCATGATGCGTTAAGCCTGTCCTTGAAAAACCTCACAATCATCCAATGAAATATATGAGACATGTTGAAGAGAAGCATTCTTCATGCAATCATGATCCGTTGTATTGAAATGAAACAACCTAACCATATTACATATCTATATTCATCAAAAACAAAAATCTTTTGATCACTTGACATTCTCCATCCTCTTTTTCTGTTTCTCATGGACCTTGAAAGATTTTACAGTATCTTGGAAATATACAAAGATTTCTTTTAAGCTATTGGATCTTTAAAGAAGAATCTCATGAGATTGAGGGTTGACAGCATATCTTTATCGAGACTTTTCTCATAGGAAGAATTGCACTCATTGACAAAATATTATCTTCTCAACAACTAGAAATGCTCAATATTTTATCAACTGGAAGCACTTTGAGAAACTTGGTAAGAGTGAAAACTATCTGTGCAAATCTTTCAAAAGTTGAAAAATTGTCTTCTTCTTCATTTTACTCTGTATTACCAATAACCGAGGCAAAGGTTTGATTTCATAACTCTAGTGCAAATTGGACAAATGCTTTCCATTCTGTTAAAATTTGTGTTCTAGTTGCAACCAACGTTACTAGAAAAACTTTAATTGACATTCTATTTTTAAGTTGTCACAGAATGAACAGCGTTGAAAGAGAAGGTCACGAAATTTTTGAAGTGTGCACTGTGTGCTTTATACAAATTACCCAAATACTCAAAAGACTCTGAATTCAAATTGCCTTTTCAAGTGCCACATTTTTTTTAGTTATCAGGTCAATGAAGATGAATCAAAAGTCCAAGTTAGTTCAATCTTGTAAGTTTATCAGCAAGTTTTCTTCAATTTATCCAATTCGTTTCAATGAAAGACATTAAAACTTTATACAAGGATGGCAATCGCAAAAATAGTATTATTTAAAGCACCTGAAAGAGCAAGGTATTCATCTTGAAAATTTGCCTATCAATGGCTATAATGTATTTCCCTTGTGAACGTTTGATTGTTAAGAATCATTTGAATCTGAAGAAAAGTTCTACAATTGCCAAACAAGCTTGCGTGATCGAGGTTCTTCTCTATTGCAAGTGTGGCTTGGCTGATGCTTTTTCATGAAAATTTTCCACATATGTTCCATTGAAATAGTTTAATTGATTTTGTGTCGCCTCAGTTGTAGTACTTTGGAATCTTGGACTGTGTATGTCTCACTGTCCAATCATTAGCCTCGAGTTACTTGAGAAAATCTTAAACACGAGAAGCCATTTGAGATAAGAAGTTCTTTTATTAAAAGTTGAAGTAGTTTTGATTTTGAAGAGCAGTTCTTTGGTTGTAAAGTCAATAGCTATCAAAGTTGGTTGAATTTCTTTTGATTCATGAGTCGTTCCTTACTGTCTTGGAAGAGGTTGAGAAGATATTACGTTGGAAATATTTCTTGAGAATTCTTTTTTTTATGTTATTGATGTCTCCCAAGTATGATTGACGACATTTTTATCAAAGTTGTTCAAGTGGATTGAATTCATTGACCTGCTCTGCTTAACCTTACTCCTGTCAGCGACTAACTGCAATTTTGTAGTGATTGCAGTTGCTACCTTTGACAAACACTCGAAACCATACTCAAAAAAAGTGAAACCAATATTTATTCCAAGTCAACTTTTTCAAAGTCGCTCCAATTTTATAAGAAAAAACTTAGTATAAACAAAAGGTAACTTATGCCGTGCTACAAATTTGCAGAAAAACCATTCCATCAGCAGTGTTTAGAAAAGAAAAGCGTACAGAGTCAAGTTGAAAAGGACCAACAGTAGAACAAGACTCAGAGCTATTGGAAGTAGCTGTCACTTGGATACCTTGGCGAAAGAAACTACCAGAAAGTGAACCAAAGTCTCCTCCATTGGAACTAGAACCTTGACTTTGAACACTGCCTTCTGCCTGATCCAAAATACTTTGTGCTTGGCTCAAAGCACTGACGGAGCCTGACCCTGTACTTGAACCTAGTGCTTGAGACTTGGCACCGCCACCCAACTGACTGGAAGCAGCATTGGCTCCTGCACTAGAAGAACCACCATCACTTGAAGATGCGGTGGCACTGGATTCCACACTTGCTTGAAACAAAGGCTTTGCACAAGTTAAATTCGTACATATACATTGATCCGATACATTCCAGTAACATTTACAAACATCGTTCTCAATGTGAGCACAAGGTAAACACTTTTCTTTGTACTGCCAAACACAGCTCAAGTTTGTAGAAGCTTTGGCAGTTCCTTGTGCTGCTGCTGAACCACTAGAGCCACTTTTAGCACTGGCATTTGTACTACTTGTCACTCCGCTAGGTCCAGAAGTGCTACTTGAGGAGTCTTTTGCTGCAGCGTTGCCACTTGTTCCTGTAGTGCTTTCTGAACTTGTATTAGGAGTATCACTATCAGAAGCAGAAACCCCTTGTCCACTTCCAAAAGAGGAAGATGAAGTAGTGGTTTGTGAACCTTGAAAGTTCACTCCACTAATATTCTTATCAAAACTGGTTGAACCACTTGAACTTATTGCAACACCATCTTGACTGGAAGACGCACTAGAACCAGCTGCTGTTGAACTCTTACCATTGTTACCTGCTGTAATACCTTTGGCGTTGGCAGAGCCTACAGAAGAAGATATGGATGAACTAGAGGTGCCTTGAGAAGTAGTAGAGCTGGAATCTTCAGAAGCAGCAGATCCATTTCCAGTAGAATCGACTTGGGAGTTGGATACGGAGGATTGCTTTCCATCCGTTGAAGAGGAGAATCCTGAAGCTTCTCCATTTCCAGAGGAAAAGGAAGAAGAAAATGTATTTGTATCTGCCATTGCAAAACTAACTGCTAATGCTATTACAAGTATAACAGATAAATATAAACAAAGGTATCTCTTCATGTTTGTCAAAAAAAATATTGGAGACACAAAAAAGAAGAATAGCAATATACGCTTAAAGTTTCTATTTCATAAAGCTATTTAAAGCATCGATGCTGACGTTTCATTTGGTTAGACGTAATCTGGATAATCACAGAATTGTTACTAATTTTGGAAATTCAATGCCGATTGCATCCACTTGGCAGACAAGTAGGCGATGGGTCCCATGACAATTACATGTTTCTAAATGCAGTCACAGCTAAAAGGAGGAAATGCCGAGGTCACCATATTCTCCTATTATTTGCAAAATTTATTGCGATCAGTTGATACTCGAAATATACCTTTTATAGTATCAATAATGAAAGATGGCTATTTAGCAAGAAAAAATTCATACTTCTTATATATTATAGAAACGTTTCTAGTATATCATGACGAAATTTCTATTCAAAAAAAAGTAGTTTATCCATGTTATAAACTTTGGAATGGCTTTTAGTAAGATTCAAGTTACTTTTGAATGGACGTTGTACAGAACTTTTTTCTCAAATGATATAATGAGAAACGCTTTGGTTATATAACAAAATTGCAACTTGTGTTTGTATAAAAAACTATTCACATTACAATATTTACTGTTTCTCACACTGGATTCTTTTCTTTGCAATTACTTGTATGAAATAATGTCCATTTGTATAAATAGTATTTAACAACTCTTCCACATACGAACGGCCATACTAGTGGCACATGCGCCTGAACCCATTTCGAATTCAGAAGCTAAGCGCCCTCAGGCTTGGTTAGTACTGAGGTGAGGGATCACACGGGAATTAAGTGCCGTACGTTTTTTTATACTGCTTTTTAGGGTTCTATGAAAAG